CTCTGTCCCACACTTTGAGGCGTTGCTATGAATCAAACCAAATATTCCTCCTGACAACAGATGCCTCTCCCCTCTCAGCTCCTCTGTGCTCTCACATCAGCACAAACCGACGGCGATCAGAGAGGATGAACCGACCAACCCGCTGTCCTCACGCGCACGCACACACGCACGCGCCTGTGTTTTTATTCAAAGTCAACACATTATGGAAAACCTTTTATTTACTTAGATTTTTCATTTATCCACCAAATAAACAAATAAAGATCATTTTTATGCAGTTTGCTTCATATTCCTCTGGTCCCTTCACCCCCGTGTCACATCGCAGAGGAGCGTCGCCACCAGGCGGCAGAGGAGCTCACCGTCACGGTAACACACGATGTGTGGCCCAAATGTGCATTTGAAAAAAAATCATACTGTTGACTGAGACGCAGGCTGGGAGTTTATTTCTCACTTCCAGGATGAAGAAACATTTGCATGTTGACAAACAACGATTAAGCTTCAGTAGTTACTGAAGTTGTGTATAACACAACCTACAGTTGTGTTATATCAAACCTGTCTCCTCCATCCACACAAGGCTGAGTTTTCACACTCAGAAATGTCCTCCACCTATTTTCTTTCATTTCGTGATGATTGTGGTGGATCAGCGTAGCTGCTACACACACACACACACACACACACACACTCTAACTTCAAAGTGCGGAAATCTGGGTATTAGCTTGTGTGCTGTGCACACCCAGACACATCTGTGTTGCAAGTGTTGGTTATATGAGCAGGTCCAACATGAACGTACAACTGGGCGGATTGAATTTATATCTGTCTCTCTATTAACTTAATGCATCAGTGGGGAAATTACAGAAATTGATTGGTGAGCTATCGCCAATCACTTTGCCCAGCGTTGACCCCTGGCTGTGCTCGCGTCGTTAGCAATTCTGAGACCCAAATGTCAGGAGTTAAAAGTGTCCCAGATTCTTTCATTTCCAATAAAATGATCAGTGTAGCTGTTCTCCCAGCTGTTACAATGACGTTTAACAGCCTGCTATCTGTGAAATAATGATTTTACAGTATTTAGTTGAGTCAGAAGCTAGCAAGACTTTAGCCGGCTAGCTTCCATCTAAAGATGATATGACAGTACGAAGCCTTTCTAAAGAAGCGAACCATCAGCTCTGCTAGAAATTTGAACACAAACCAAGATGAAGATCTAAATACGAGTAACATATCTAGCTACCATACCTGGTACCATACCTGGTAGCTAGGTATGGTTTGGCTAATATAAACACATTAGCGCAGCAAAGATGGAGGATGAGGCTGAAGTTGTTCTCAATAGAAGTCATCATTATGCTGCTCTTTGAGTCAGCCCAACTAGCACCCAAATACGTACTGGACCACCGCGAGTCCATGGGCTGCAGTGAGTTTCAAAACTGAACTTAAAGATGTGTTTGACCTGAT